CCCCCAGTCAGGAGGTGGCAGCTGATGGTGTGGAAGATCCTATGTGAATAGGCCCTTAGACTTGCAGAGAGGGCTAACCCCAGCTACAGAGACACCATCCAGGTACTGGCAGAAGCACCAGGTTAAGAGAAGACTGTGGGGGAGGGGGCATGATATACCTCTATAAGTACCTCAAAGGCTGTCACAGAGAGGAAGGTCAAGATCTCTTCTTGCTGATGCCAGAGTGTAGGACACAGAATAATCCATTCAAGTTGCGGCAACCCGGATTCAGGCTGGACATCAGGAAAAGCTTCCTCACTTTCAGAGCAACAGGACAGTGGGACCAGTTGCCTAGAGAGGTCATGGGCTCTCCCACACTAGAGACATTCAAGATGGAACTGGACAGCCATCTGGGTGGGATGGTGTAACGTGGTGTCCTACAACTGCAAGGGGTTGGACCTGGTGGCCTTCATGGCCCCTTCCAACTCTACTATTCTATGATTTCTACCAGAGCAAAAACCTCCTGTATGATAAGCAGGTAGAGGTGGTTTTCCCAAGCACAGCGCAACTCCGGATGGTGAGATTTGGAGGAACACTACATTACTGCTGTTCTGCAGAGCCACAGAGAGCCAGCTGTAAGGTGGTCAGGGCAATCCGTGCCAGCCGCTCACCGCATAGGCATCAATGGGATACCATCTGCCAGTGATGGTTCTTGAACCTTTGTGGGAAGCATGGCATATTGGCACAGCCAGCATGGGTAAGGTGCATGGAAAACAGATATGTTAGAGGTTGGAGGGCTCTTTTCAAGTGCTGATACTGCCAGGTGAACACAGTCTAACAAGGAGAAGAGAAAACCAGTTTTAGAGATGTTCCTTCCATGTTTCTCCCAAAACCATTGGGATTGGAAATAAAAGGAGAGACATGGTAATGTTATTCCCTAACCAGAAGCAAGCCAGCTTTGCCTTGGACCATCTTGGGTCTGAGTTGCCTGGAATTCTGAGGTCTTCAGAACATTTCCATGGTGAGGATATTCACCTTGCATTTGACTTTTAGCCAAGGTGAATGAAGGGTTTCTTGGGCATGGGGCTCAGTTGTTCACACTTCCTGTACACCTGCTGTCCTCAAAAGAGCATCATCCAAATGTGCTGGATGACAATTTTCATCATCCCCAGTTGACATGACCAACACACAATGTACCAAAGCATGAGCTTTGGGGGGTTTTTTTCTCTTTCCATAAAAATCTCTATGTAGTTGCATGCATTTTCCCCCAAATATGCATCAACTGTGTATCTCTCTGAAATGCAGACATTTTTTTCCCACTGATTAAAGCACATTTGTGTGCCTTTTACAAAGCACACACACTGTGCCATTTCAAACATACCCATGCTGTTGACTACATAATTCCAGTGTTCATGAGTCACACTGCAAGCTTGCAAATGTATGGACTTTGATCACAGATCGTATCTAAGTCCATACTTGGTCTGGAAGGTGCGAACTAAGTAAATCCTGGTCAAAAGCAAACAACCTTTTCATATGTCCCTATTGTGGAGATGAGCCTAAATGAATGTTATTTGCAATAACATTGCCTTATCTTGCTGGATATAAAACTGCTGAAAGCTTAAACTCACTCACCCTCTTCTTTCTAGTTATGTCACACCAGCAAACAGCAGAATTCAGCTGAAAGTTCTCAACAGCTGTTGGCAACAACAGTGAAGTATTTGAATTTTCCTGATGCTGCCTGACATTGAGATAGGTCTTTGTCACAGTTGTCCTGAAATTGTCCTTTAATTCCACTTCGCAGCTATTCCTGACACATAAAGCATGTGGGTAAGGACAGTTAGCACTACCCAGGGGTTTATAGGGACTGCAGTAGGACCCACGTATGCATCGGTCTCCAGTGAGCAATATGGCGGGCCAATGGTACATGGGACCCTGGCCTTGCAGGGGTCCAAGACAAATTGTGGCAGTTTAAAGCTCCCCGCTCTCTTCTGAGCAATCCTGGGCTCAGTAAAATAATAGCCAGTATCCTCTGAAGCACTTAAGAAATACCTAGTTCCAGGGCTTTTTTTGTCATAGAACACACCGGAACAGCATTCTGGCACCCTTTTTTCCAATGGATTTTATGAAGTGATTTTGAATCGCCTGTCAGCGTAGCAGGTCAGCAGCAAACATCTTTAACATAGTGCCTGCGGGCTGCTTTTGTGTCCGAGCCGCCCGGCTTGGGATCGGTGTGTGTGGTCGCGGTGTGTGGTCGCGGTGTGTGTGGTCGCGCGCTGAGTGCTTACTGCTGGCGACATGAGTTCCGGCACCTTTTTTTTTTTTTTTTACAAAAAAAGCACTGCCTAGTTCCATTTACTTTTGGAAACTTTTTGGTATGAGGCAGTATTTGCTTTTCTTCTGGACAAGTCTTGTGCTCACTTGAAGGAATGCCTGTCTCCACATGTGTCTGTCAGTACTTGCAAAGTGTCCTTGGAGCTCCATCTCTGGGTGTCTTTGCCATCTGTAAGGTATGGCCCCAGAGGACAGAGGCTTCTCTTGCTGGCCACCAGATTGTGGAATGCTCTCCCCAGGGACACTTGCCTCGTCACTGACTTTGGTATCATTTGGCACACTACTGGTGAAGTATCTTCATCATCGTCATCATCTGAGGACTTTTATCTTAATTCGCTGCTATGGATTTTGCTGCTTTTGTTGTATTTTTGGGTTTTTCTTTTGTTGTCTTTTGAAATATTGTCAGCTGCTGTGGCAATTAGAAGAGCAAGGTATATATCAACCACTATCATAAGTAACTAATTAAATGAGTGCATTTGATTTCTTTTTGCTTCCAAGCATATGCTTTTGTCAAAATTTGTTCTCTAGTTTTCAAGATCATTTGCATTCTAATCCTTATAAGTGTTTGTAATTCAAGTTTTGCACCATCTGTAAGCTTAAACTCATTACTGTATTGCAGGGTATGAGCCAAACCTGGGAAACAGCATGAGGTCTAGGAATAGCTGTGCAGCTTTCTACTTCAGCCCCAATGTTTAGCAGCTGCCTATAGCTACCAGAGGGACCGTGGGTGGTGCAGTGGTTTAAAACTGCTGAGCTGCTGGGCTGGTTGATCAAAAGGTTGACAGTTCGAATCTGCAGACGGGTGAGCTCCCGTACTCTGTCCCAGCTCCTGCCAACCTTGCAGTTCGAAAGCATACAAATGCAAGTAGATAAAAGGGTACCACTTTGGTGGGAAGGTAACAGCATTCCCTGCACCTCAGTGTTTAGTCATGCTGGCCACATGACCATGGAAACTGTGTGGGGACAAACGCTGGCTTCCTCGGCTACGAAACGGAGGTGAGCACCCCCCCCTAGAGTCAGACATGACTGGACTTTAATGTCATCGGGAAACCTTTACTTTTATAGCCACCAGTGTGTGTATGCAAGTATTCATATCACAGCCTGCCCCAACCAGGTGCTGCCCAGGTGTAGACTACAACTCCCATAATCCACAGTCACTAGAGTGGGAGTTGTAGTCCAACATATTTGGGAGCATCAGGCTAGGGATGACTGTACTGTCCCATCTGCAATGAATTTTTCTAGGTTATCTTGAAAAATGTGGAACTGTGAATCTGCACTAGATCAGCAAACAGGTCCTGAATAGCTGCAAAGGTTTTCAAACCATTAGGTGCAGTAGAGTACAGGAGTCTCCCATCTGAATTCTCAGTTAAGCAAAATGTGGCATTCCTGTATGCGTGTCCCCACCACCTTGGTTTTGAGAAGTGATTTGCATCAATTAAAATCCGTGCTGAATGGAAACAAGTAGCAGGAAGGTTAGGCTGAGCAGGGACAATTTATTCCACATTCTTCAGGGCAGGGCAGGTACAAAAGCCTTCTAAAGATTAGGCAAGAATGGACACAGAACTGTCACCTGCAGGGTAGATACCAAAGGCACAAGTGAGCTTGCTAGTTTGCAATAACCCCTCCAAGTAAGTAGAATATCTTAACTATTCTGAATTCCTTTTAAGTTTGTTTGGAGTATGGGGCCTGCTTATTTGCCCCCATTCCCACGACTGTATCCTTATACTGGGAGAAAGCCCCATTAAATCCAGTAGGGCTTGCTTTTAAGTAGCAATGTGAAGCCTATGTGTGGGGAATGGACCCATTTCCCCAGGGACATTTTGCAAAATGCATGTGGAGGAAGCATGTTCTGACTTTCTGCAACTTCCCCCCACACCTTCAAACTCTGCTTGGGAGTGGCTGTGTGCACGATCCCACTCTTTAGTAAACTATGGCTGGGCGCATACGAGAATCACCGTGATGTGGCTGCCAGGTGCATGACAAGTGTACACAGCCTGTTGCCATGCGCCTCTCCAGGCATCAGTGCTGGCTGCACCAGCGCCTGTGCCCAGACGCTGCCCATGCTCCTGCAACAGTGGCACGTCTGCTGTCCAACGTCTGATTGTGCACGCTTCTTGGAAAAGGGGGCGCGGGGGAAGCCGTGTCTAGCCTCTGGGTCCCGCAGTTGCCCTGCGCTGCGTGTGAGCGCATGGCAGAAAGGGAGGCGAGGAACTGGCAGCCTGGCTGGCTGGCTCTGGGCCTGCTGCCCGTGGCGGCGAAAGGGCAGCAGCTCGCCAAAGCCTCCGCCATGCGGCACGCTTCTGTCGCTGTGGGCGCCCGCGCTTTGCCCGGGGTCCACCAGCCACACGGAGGAAGGTCCTCGGCGCTGCCGGCGCGCCCCTCCACGGCGGCCGCCGCTTTCCTCGCCCGCGCGCGCGCCATCTCGCGCGCGCTTCCCCCGCCGGAGGAGGGCTCGGCCCGCCGGGGCCGAGCTGCTGTGGCCACGCGCGCCCCGCACGCGAGCGAGCGAGCGCGCGTCCCGCCGCTTCCTCGCTCTTGCGCGCCCGCGGAGCTGCGCTGTGTTCGCCCGCCCGCCAATGAGAGCGCCCCGCGCGAGGAGCGGAGGGCTGGCTGGCTGGGGACCCGGCGGGCGGGGGAGCGAGGCGGTCGGGGAAGCCGCCCTCTGTCTCCTCCTCCTCGCGCTCTCCCCGAGCATCTTGTGCAAACAAAAAGGCTGGTTGGCTGCGGCCGCGGCCGCCGCTCTGCTTTCCCCCTCCGGAATCCTCCGGCGGCCGCTGATGTAAGACCCTGGCGGGAGCGCTGGGAAAAGCAGGCGGGGAGGTGGAGGGGGGAATGCGGTGCTCCTGCCTCCGCCGCTCCTGCTGCAAACGAGAGCTGCCTTGCCTTGCCTTGCCTGGGCAGCGTCGCCAGCCCCAGGCGCACCGGGTCTCCGGAGCGGGCGAGCGGAGGGGCCGGCAGGTAGGGCAGCGGGGCCGAGGGCCTGAGCGCGGCGGGGAACCGCGCTGCCTTCCCGCAGCGCTCTCGCCTGCGCGTGGATGCCGGTGGCGCGGCTCCCTGGAGGGCCGTGGGGCGGCGGGGTGGCAGTCGGGGACCCGCCGGGGCTGCGTCCGACCTGCGTGCGTGATCGGGTCCCTTGCATCCTCCTCGGGTGCGTGCTTATTCGGAGGTGAAGCCCGCGGCGCCCGGGGGTTTTCCTGCCCGGGAGTGCATCCCGAGTGTCTGCTTCTTTGTGATGAGTAGCCCTGGCGTGGGCTCTGCTGCTCGAGAGCCTCATGGCGAAAGCTCGTTGGTGGCATGCTCGCTTCACCTTGGCTTTGTTCCCCCTCATGCAAGCGACCCTCCCCGCCCCCGTGGCACCGGCGGCAGGTCCCCCGTCTGTCTGAGACCCCTGCTCGAATCCTAGTCTTAATCGCATTGTCTGCGCTTCATCCTTCTTTCCATCATCACCATCATCGCCTGCGGAATAGGTCCCTTTGCCTGCGTGCATCCGAATGAAATGTCAGGGCAATGGTAATAAGTGTTGCTTCAGCGTCAAGTGTAACTTTAGTTTTGGAGCCTTCCCAAGCCGAGATGAAAGCGGGGTTCTTGCGCTGAAGGCGAGCGTGGAGCCTTCCTTTCCACGTAGCATTGAAGTTTCCTTATCACATAGGCACTGATTGCCTCCCAGGACATACGGCGGACCCTCTGGCATCCCGCTTTTTGGCAGGCTCCTTTTATCATAGGGTATGCGGAAATCTGCTTGTCTGTGCCAGTTGTTTCCCTGCACGCATTCACCTCTCACCACAGGTTTGTCTGCCTGTGACCCACCAGGTGAAGTTGGGACATGGCTGAACGGTGTGCGATGAGACATGGGGTTTTCTTGGCTGGTTAAGCCTCAGGGTGCAGTGTGGGCTCTGGAAAAGAACTAAAACCACCTAGCTCCGTTGGATTTTCCTGTGAGTTTTTCCCTCCATCTTCCTCCCCTGCATATACACCACCGTTTCTTGTCCGATGAGGTAATGCTTCAGGCCAAGAGAGTAATTTTTGGAAGCTGATAAGTCCAAGGTCTCTTTATACACATAGGTTTGATCTGTAGTTACAGTACTGGTGATAAACCATCAGTGTTAATGCCTGCCAGGAACAATGCACAAAAGGACACCAGATGTGCCACGATCACTGCTTTTGGCTACTCGTGGCATAGGGTATGCTACCCTGATCTGGTTCGTGTCACTGTTTCTGTGTGCACAGAATATACAGATACAGGGACAATCCCTCTGTGACATGTTCTCTTTCATAACTTGAAAGGGCAAGCTCACAAAAGCAATTCTTTGCCTGCAGGTACTTATTGAGGCTAAATTATGCTCAAATGAGAGGTTGCTGATACATGGCAGAAGGCTACTGGTGTTCCGCCTTGGAGGTTGACTTTTGTCAGGGAGCACACCCACCACCTCTGTTTCCAAAAGATCTTGCTGAAGCAAGACGGAGAGGAAGGGAAGTTTCTTTTGGAAGCTGGGATCTTAATGATGGGTATGACTGTGAGTTATTGTTTGTGGCGATAATGTCAGTGCAGGAAGAACATATCAGTTGTGCAGCATGACACAAGGGCTGGTTGTGTCAGTGGCACACAAGTCAGGCATCTGGTGCCTGAGTTACGACATCCAGATCGAGTATGTGTGTGCAGAAAAGAGCAATGTGTGAAAGCAGCTTCCTTTGGAAGCAAGCATTTCTTGAAACCAGCAGGCTGTGCTTGTGTGTTCACATGTTTAGGACTGTAGTCTCACCATGCAGGTTGCTCAGGAGGATGCTTTCCAAGATGGGCATATCTCCGAAGCGTCAAATGAAGTGGCCAAAATACGGCTTCTTTAATTAAGCCAGCAAAGCTTAATTTGCTAGCTTGAATGTGCAGTGTTCTGGGAAGGTTTCTTGCCAAGACAGGGGTGCAACTCTGCTGGTTGTGGGTTGTCATTTATGCCCCCAAAGTGACAATCGCAAACTCTCCATAAGAGCAACAGACAGCAGCACCATTCAGCATTTGTAGCTAAATATTGACTATTAGATGATATCTGGTGTGGTCCTGAAGTAGTCTTTTGTAAATTATCTCACAGAATTTATTGTTTTGAAAGGTTGTGTTTGTACCTGACTTACATAAAAGCATTTCTTTCTGTTTTGCATTGCATAAATCACTGCTGGTGTGTTGGCCTTGAATAATACAAACCTTGTATTTTGCAGGTAAGATTCTTTTTGCATATGAAATAAATAGTTGCCATTTAAAAAGTAGGAAGCAATGAAGCAACTAAGGTATGTTGTACTTTTTTTCCAGTGGAACTTTATTTCAAAACAATTTACCATTTTGCTGCAAAATTTCAGGCTACAAGAGTAGAGTTATAGCAGATGGACTTAAAAGTGCCCAGCTCTGTACTGGATTATGGCTCTTGTTTTTGCTACAGGGAAGACTTGTGATGAAAAATAGATCTGTGTTAGCAACCATTCTAAAACCTTCCTTGATCATGCAGTATGGGTACCTTTCTGCTTGCATTGTTAGTACAGGAATAATTGTATAACTTTGCCTTACAGTTATGCTCCCACACACAGGAGCTTTGTTTTAAAACATACTTAAAACAAAACATTCAAAGCACAACAAAATATCCGAAGCATGTTTCTGTAATCTAAACAGTTGGCTGCAGTGTGTGAGGAAAAGCTTTCACCTTTGCAGGTGAGAAAAGGGGACCAAATTTCTGCCCCCCCCCCCCAACAAGTCTCTCTCCAAATGCAGCATGTTAAGTCACCATACTAGGCACGCTTAGGCAGAAACAGACCTACTGCTCCCAGCATTCCCCAGCCAGCAGTGCCAGCTGGGGGGAGGCTGGGAATTGCAGTGTTTTTCCTGCCTGAAGATGCACCCTTAGTTGAGAATTGCTTGGTCTCTCTTGTGTACCACTCTGTGTGAATGACGGTGTCATATGGTTTTTATTCTTCTGCCAATAAATCCATCGTTCCGCCCTGATGTTTAGCGCAATTTGTTTGTTTTTTTAAACTATGACTGCATTGTTCCAGTAATTTTTTGGCAGTCGTGTTCAGCTTGGAACTCTGTTGGGAACCTGTCATATTCATTTGCTTCCTGCCACGAGGTGGGAAAAAAGGGTTCCTTGTTTTAAAGTTACTTAAGTGCTTCATATTTGAGGTGGGGAAATATAGTTGACTGTAATGCCTGCTCGTTTGGGCTTGAGTAACTTCAGCCTTTTTACATTTTTGTGGCTTGCTCACAATAGTGATTTATCTCACTAAAGTCAAATGTATTGATATTTTATGGTCTGAAGGGAGAAACAAGGCGTTTTTCTCATCCACAGTAAGACAATACCTTTATTAGACCAATGCAAATGTCACAAAATAGAAAGCTTTTGTTTTCTTCAGGACTCTTCATCGGGTAAGATGAGCAAAATGGGATGGGGAGAGGAGAAAAGGCTGTAATTGATGTAGTTCCCAACTGAGTGCTCTCCACAGTCATTGCACTACAACACCCATCACCCCATCTGGGATGGTGAGTGGGATGATGGGAAGTGCAGTCCAAAACAACTTCAAGGCACCCAGTTGATGAAGATTAGTATAGTTGCTGCCCGGTGTTGCAATCTTGTTTTGAATCACTGGGAGTAAGCGGCACTGAGCTCAGGGAGACTTACTTCCAAGTAGACAAGTCTAGGATTGCAGTGAAAAGTACAGCTGAGAACCATTAAACTGGAATGCAGAAATAAATATGCAGCTATTATGGGATTAGCCTGTCAAGGTGTAAAGCAGAGTATTTGCTTCATCCAGGGCTGTATTAGGACATGTAGAACTTCCCCCCGATACTCTTACATTTTGATGAATACAGAACCTAGTAGTTACTTGGTTTTGGCTCAAGGCCAGGTCACTCGGGAGGCAGTGAACAAAAATAAAAAAGCAATGTGGTAGTCCTTTTGAGCACAGCTGGTTAATTTTTAGGTACTTTTTACTCCAGTTGAAGTTTTTGTTTTTGAGTTCTCCTTCCATGCCCCCCAGAGACCTGTGTGTCTTTTGAGGTGAGGTGTAATTATGGATGCATTTTTCCCAAAATGAGGAAGCATTTGTCTTTTCCTTTGTTTTGTCCAAGTAGTTCTGGATGCATTTTCATAATCTGCCTTGCACCTCGAGGGATGCATTCTGTTATGTCTGCAGAGCTCCTCCTTCACTGCAGCTCAGGATGGTCATAAACTTGAACTGCACCCATCACAGCAGTTTCCCTTGCCTGCCCCCGCCACTATGCCCTCCCCGGTTTTGTTTTACATCCTGCTTGCCGAAGCATTCTGGAGAACCGGAAAGCTTGCTGTCTGGCTTGCATTATCTTAGCTGGTTTTAGCAAACCTGTTGCCTTGCTGTGGATGTTTGCATATGGCTCATCTAATGGAGCAACTCAGCTATGCTTTTAAAAGAGGGATTTTCCTGTTTTCCTGGGGTTCCTAGAGGATCTGGCAACCTTGCTGATGAAGAATACCTATTTGCTTTGCTGCCTGTGTCAGGGCAGTGCCTATACTTGTGAACACTTCTCCCCACCTGATGCTCTGCAGACACATTGTACAGGCAGTCCCATTGTTCCCATCAGCCCCAGGCACTGCCATTGAGATCCTTTGTGGAGCACCAGCTTGGTGAAGGCAATAGGCTCAATAGCTGACTCTTAGTGGCTGATTTTGGTGCCAGGGTTTTGTAGAAATCTCTTTATCAGTCCACGGGACAGCTGTGGGCAGGAGAGCAAGGCCAGACCTGTGCCCCTTCTTTGCATCAGACTTG